AAACATCGTGCTTCATGATTTTACATTGTAAATGGAATTGTCTCTTTTCCATGTAATTAATTACTTTTACATTTCTCTTTATAAAGATATGATTATGATTCTCTTTCTAAAAAATTTTCGAGACCTTCAGAAAATTGTCTACCTTTTTTTTTCATAGTACTGAAAAAATTCCCTTTTTATGGAAACATATGCATTGTTCGCAATCATATAAATCTCTTGATTACGTCAAAGATATGATTCTGAGAAAACTATAACACGTTGAAAATCATGCGGGATAGTTTCTTTTTTAAATCTCTTTGAAAGGCTTTCTTAGACTCCTGTATAAGCGCGCTTTGTCGTAAACATGTAAAAATTACAAATTAAGGCATACTAAGATCGGACTTTTTAATTACGAGAATTTATTGGAAACCTTGAAAATAATCTTGAAAAAAAAATTTGATTCCCGCTGTTCATTACGTCGCGAAACTTACAAATCTTTATTGGCTTCTTTGGAATTGTTGAATTGATCGCGCAGATGGAAAGAATTGATACGGTCGTACTCTCGAGCTCGTATCAGATAACCACTCAGATATGTACGGGGGATTAGGGGGGATATAGAGTAAGAGTTCTATATATACTTTTGTAGAACTCGCTCCCGACATACTGAGCTTATGCGCCCTCATACACCGACACGTCCGCACGTAGCACACACTCACTTGCACTGGCGGAATGCAATACATTACGGTTATGATCACGAGATTATTTTAATTCTTTTCTCAACACCTAATCTATAATCTATCGCGAATATTATACTACGATGAATAATATCTCCGATCTACCGTTGGCGTGATATTATAAACACCTACACATCAGTTTATAGATAAGCAAACAGATGATAAAAATGGCGATTATTTTTCTATTTAAACTACATATATGAAATAATAATTCTTATACGTTTCATGAAATTTATTGTATGAAATACTATTATTTACGTATAAACTACTAGAATTGCTTTTGCATGCAATATACATATCAATTTTACATCGACTAATACTTTTTTTTTTTTAATTTAATCCGCTCTTTTTTATATATATTTTGTGTGCAAGTGCTCTTTAATAATAATAAAATATTAAATCTATGATTAATAAAATCTTCTAATAAAATCCTTTATAAAAATTAATTTACTTTGAATTTATAATATTAATGTAGACAGTTCTTTCAAATGTGTTGCTTACCACATGCAATTCTCTAAACATCTAAATATATGTTTTCAAGAATATTTTTCAGTTAGTAGAAAATTTCTCTTATGCGTGCCATTTCTCTCACAATGTAGACAGCTTCTTTTAGAGATTTGAAAAATGTGAAACCTCTCGTATATAATAAATAAAACTTGCACATTCGTGATTGAAAAGGTCACGTGACAAAGAGAGGAGGTGTATTAAAAATCGAGAAGGTCAAAATCAGACGCATACCGTGAACGCGCCATGGAGTCGCACGGTATTATCCCAGTCACGTGTTACTCAGACTTAACCAGCCGATCTGTCAGTCAGGCAGACGGGGACAGTCGTCAGCCTGGCAGTCGGTGACACGTTTCGTACAGGGTTCGGTGCAAATACATGCGCGCTCCGCGTTCTATTAAGAGCGAGGCACGAAAAGGCTAGACGACACGAGGTGACATCGAGATGGGTGACACGACATGGCCTTGCGCTTAGCCCGCCTCAGTCTTACAACGACGACGACTATGCGCACCCCGGGCCTCTTCGCTCGCACATCTCTTATTGCGCGATAGATGCCTTTTATTTCAATTTTTATCTGCTCTCTAAAGCAGTCTTCCGTCAAAAGACGGAAGACTTGAGGATTTTGTACAGCGAAGTTTATATATTTTGTACATATTTTATTCTAATACAGCGACATTTAATATTATTTGGATTAAGATGTTAAATAATTATTAGAAAATATCCATGGAGAAATAATCCGTATAGTACAGAAGTAAGAAATTTTTTTTCGTATGTGTTCTCTTAATTTATCATATATATATATATAATTCTGAATATCTAAGATGACTTAATAATTCCTTTTTCAATGGTTTTCTCTGCAATTATTCATATGCATAATGCACGCAATAAATTATTATAATATTATTTAACAAGCAATATCTTGATTGATCGACTAACAAGATACTTGATAGTCGATAACGACGTAATCTCGCACGGGATTTCGAAATAAATACATAAATAATATCGCTCTATCGATTCATATAATTAATTACTTGCTTTCATCTGAGTAATATATTTACGATGTTAAAATATTTTTTATTACTTTTTGAAAAACTTGCAAGAAATAAAAACGTAAAGAACAGAATCTTCCGCGTCTTTATGAAAGGGAATGCACGAAGTGCTCTCATTGCATCCGCTTAAGATTCAATGTGATTACAAAATTTATTACCAAGCGATATATAACGCAAGTCATGCGTATGATTACGGAAATTCACGTTACAATAACATATTGGCTCGTACTCCCCTCGATGCTTTAGAATTTATAGTGCGAGAATAACTACTGAGATCACGCCAGATAGAATCTAAATGCTAATTAAACAGGTGTGCCTGACACGCGTGAAATTTAATCGGGTCAGCGATTACCGCGGTACTTTAATGCATTAAAAGGCATGGCCATTTAAAAAAAAAAAAGAAACAATAAATTACGAGCGTCTCGAAGATAAAATAATTTTCAGCGATCTAACATACACGTAATCGCATCGCTCTGAGATTATTACTGCTGTGTGCGTGTTTCTATGGGAATGATAAAAACCTCCAACCTGTTATAGACATCTCGTTGCGAAATGTATCGAGATCTCTCTTGTGTGTGTGGTATTAGTTGAAAGAATTAACATGATGCGTCTAAGAAGCATATTTTAATCACGTATGAGCATCGAGAACTTTCTCACCGAGTCTTCAATCGAGTACGTTCCTCTACATAGCAACACGATATGCTTTATCGACGAGATACAAATAGCAATTTATTATCAAAGAAGACGCGAGAATATTTTAAAGAAACATCTATTCGTAATATTTTATAATAACATAGCATGAAACAGAGAAAAAAGAAAAAAGAGAGGAATGTAAGAGATTATCCAATTATCTCTTTACATTGACAAAAAGATATACGTAACTAGATAATAATTAATAAAAAATAAAATGTTTGAAAATTATATATAATAACGAAATAAATTAAATTTAAAAAATCAAAAAATATAAGAAGCTTATTGATTTGACAGCTCTCGCGTTATTGTTAAGATACTTTTACGTTATCGAATAAAAATATCGTATAATAATGAGTGGTCGAAAAGAGAATTTCGTTTGTCGGTTACAAAACGGGTAGGTGCACCGGATAAACGATATGCAGACCGAACGAGTCTGCGTGTCCAGACAAGCAGAACACTATTTATTAAAAAGTCAGTCCGCACGACCCGGCGACGTGTTATATCGGGAGGAAAGCGATAACACCGGACGAAGGGTCCTGCCATTAAGCCCGGTAGGAGCTTCGCTGTTCAACCGTTCGTTGGTTGGTCACCATCCTCTGCGAAAGCGCTTTTCACTCTCGTGGAAGTGCTCAACCAAAGTTGCTCAAAGCCGTGGAACGGATCTTTAAACGTGCCGTTATAGATGTTACACTCGGAATACCGGCTATAATCGCGGACACCGAAAACTTTTCGAGAAACAGCGCGGCGGGAAATATTATTTATTCGCGTGCGACAGCAAGCTTATGATCACTTGTATATTTTATCGTTATACGTTCTTTTTTTCTGCGCGCGTATGCGTGGAAGTATAAATCAACGAAACTCCATTTAAACGGCGCAATTTGTTGCGTGATTATTGTCGTCCGCGCACTTCCTACTTGACTGCATCTTTATCTGTACGACTCATCAACTTCTCCCCCTCTCGTCCCGCGCTATTAATAGCCATCTATTATAACTGCAAATGAACCGGCTCTTTAATATCCGCAATGACCCGTGTTTACAATGAACCTGAAAACGAACGGATAAGTGGCACCCCTAGCACCTGCTAAAGCATCGAACCGAAACCTCTATGTTAGTACCTTTGGAAAAGGACGGGGAAAGAAAGAGTAGAAATTATTAGTATATTGATTACATCGAAATAATGATACAAACGTTAAAAAAAAGCAGACTCCACGAATATTTTAGCGAATAAACAGTTGTAAAGCGATAGAGGACTATCTGCTTCATCAAATTCGACCGTGAGTTATTTTCAATACATTATGTGAATCGTATAAATATCTATCATCTTTCTAACCTCAGGAGACGGCGAATGTGGTATTATATATTTTTTTTCACGCGACAAATTGCTAATTTTCATCCCAGACTTAAAAAAAGAACGGATTAGCTAGAGGTGCATTATATCAAATTCCATTTGATTTATGCGACATTTTATGTCACATTGCGAATGAATCAAGGCTGAGCCGAGGGTCGTTTCTAACGTTGTTCGGCAGTTGCGTTGGCAGTTTTTGCGAAGGAAATACGCGTGTAATAGAGAGAGGCGGAGTATCGTAATAATAGCGTTGCAAAATTATTTATGGCCGAGGCGTGCAAAGCAAATAGGTAAAACAGCTGCCAAGTGACCAGTTCGCGATCCAGCGGCACTGGCGAAGGCATTAACCACGGGACTCGTTGAAATAATTAACGAGGTCGTCACGCGTTGCACGCTTGGACCCCTTGGTAGTATGCATCGTCTCTGTGCTTTTTATACAACCTTCACACTTTTCCACTCGACGCTTATCATCAAATCTTTGCGTTTGAAAAAATAAAGAGATATATTTAAAAAATTTCTTTATATCTGTAAATTAATATTGTGTAAATGTTATTTGCGGACGCGCCCCGAGGCGTGCGAGGATAATAAATGTGTCTCTCTGTCGCCAATTTGGACTTGTCACAAATCCCTTGTATAACGTTTACGCTTGCATCGTCTACTTCTATCGCGAAATAACGGTAACGTTCGTTTTTTCAGGTACGGTGAACGCGAACGGTGAGACGAAACGGCAAAGGACCTCGTACACCAGGTACCAGACCCTGGAGCTGGAGAAGGAGTTCCATTTCAATCGCTATCTGACGAGGCGGCGTCGCATAGAGATCGCGCATGCTCTCTGCCTCACGGAACGTCAGATTAAGATCTGGTTCCAGAATCGGCGTATGAAGTGGAAGAAGGAGCACAAGATGGCGAGTATGAACATCGTGCCGTACCACATGTCGCCGTACGGGCACCCTTACCAGTTCGCGCCCCACCCCGGCCAGTTCGCTCACTTGGCCACATAGGACGAGTTCTCGCCCGCCGAGCTCGGAGCACACGCTGTCCGGTTTCCCGGGATGTACGGCGAGCAGAACTTCTAAAGGCTTTTTCCGCCTTCTCGGACCCCGCGCCAACGCCTGTCAACGGGGGCCTGAAACCCCTGGCGGGGTCGTCGAAGGGCCTTCACTTCCAGTAGGACACATGGTGCGTTTCGCCGATTCCGCAATGTGCCGATGGTCGGTAGTAGATGGATTGTCGCGCAAGAACGCGAGAGGAGAACACGATCCTTCCTCTCTCCGTATATGTTAATAAACGTACTTAAATTATATTTCGCGCTTAATATTGTATAAGAAGGAAAAGGAACGAGACTTTTTCGGGAAGGAAGAGGAATAATTTCCTTCTCAGGCTGACGAGAAGCAATCCACTCTCGCTTACCTTCGGCCTATGCGGACACGCAAGTACTGTACGACTATTCGAAGTTGAAGGGAAGCCAAAATTTTCTGCATACATAGCGCCGTGCACCCGAGTTAATAGACTGGACGCGCTCCGAGGGGCTCTCTCTTAACGCACACGAGATTATAAAATATTCATACTAATGCGGATGAGAGACCGTCTCAGCGGGTGAGATAAAACCGAATCTTCTAGTTTAAGATGTAGAAATTAGCGGTCTAAGTAATTAATTAATCAAATAACGAATTAATTAATTATTTTGTCTGGCTGCGCACTGTTTCACCTAAGATTAATAATTACTGATGAAATATATTTATTTATTGTTCTTTTTTTTTTTTGATACATTATTCTCTCTTGTGTTTAATCCTTTTCAAACGTGTCCCTAGAAAAATTATCTGGAAAAGACTCGAAACAGTTTCAAAGAAAATATAGTTTTCTCGCTAAAGTCTCTATGTAATAGTTTATAAGAGACGCCTCTGTTAATACTTATATTCCCCGTCATTCTCGAAAGGAAAGATAACCTTTAGAAATCTATGATAGCGTATAAATTATGCTGGTCTAATGAAATGTTCTAAAAAAAAATGAGAAATATGCTTTAAGAGATGCGTGTACTAAGTCTGCATTAGTAAAATAATAACGAGATGGTTCATACAGCATAATTTACACGTGATTAAAATAATACAATATCATTGTAGTATTATAAAATAACTACAGAATCAATAATTAGAAATTTCCACATCTCTCTGTATTTCTCCCTCTAATATTTTTTATATTAAATGCCTAGACATTCTTTTGCATATCCCATTAATTTACGTAATTATTATGCAACGCTAGAAATTATGAAAAGAATAGATAACCAACGTGTTCCAAATCACGCAAATTAATTTCGGGAATTGAATTGCGCGCATAATATTTATTTCTTTTTACAATCCTGCAATATTATTTTATTATAATGAAACGGTGGGCAGCTACGGCCCAGCATCTCTCTTTGTACATAATTTACAGCATAATCTAACCAATGTCTCCCTGGAGCAGCCACGTTGTTCCTATATTGTCGATATGTAGGGGAAATCTCGCGTAGAATCTAATATTCATTTTTATTCCACCGCATCGAGCATTTTATCCCGATTGATGAACAAATCAATTCTACTATTGTTTCTCGCGCGTCGACTATAGTGACTTTAATCTATATAGAAACATAATTAGTTTCTATAATCTACCATAGTTGAAATCCGAACTATTGAATAAAAAAAAGAAAAAGGGATATTTCGCGCATGGGGTCGAACGGGATAAATGACGGCCCGGATGCGTTGCGAGTGTGTGTCTGACTTTCGATATGGTGCAATGTATGCGCATGTAGCGCTGAATATCTAACGCAAATTGTGCATGCACGTGCCGCCTGGTTACGCGTATTTATCGGTACAGGTGCATGATCGGATGTGTGACGGAAGAAATGTATTATTCTACGTCGGATCGCGCTGATGAGGATCCGATGATAAGAAAGATCGAATATTGATTAATTAATTAATCCGGGAAGCGAGCGCAAGTGTGTAAACTAATTAGCTAGTATTCGAGTAATTGATTATCTTGTGATACGACAGAAACTAATATTCATTTTTATTCCACCGCATCGAGCATTTTATCCCGATTGATGAACAAATCAATTCTACTATTGTTTCTCGCGCGTCGACTATAGTGACTTTAATCTATATAGAAACATAATTAGTTTCTATAATCTACCATAGTTGAAATCCGAACTATTGAATAAAAAAAAGAAAAAGGGATATTTCGCGCATGGGGTCGAACGGGATAAATGACGGCCCGGATGCGTTGCGAGTGTGTGTCTGACTTTCGATATGGTGCAATGTATGCGCATGTAGCGCTGAATATCTAACGCAAATTGTGCATGCACGTGCCGCCTGGTTACGCGTATTTATCGGTACAGGTGCATGATCGGATGTGTGACGGAAGAAATGTATTATTCTACGTCGGATCGCGCTGATGAGGATCCGATGATAAGAAAGATCGAATATTGATTAATTAATTAATCCGGGAAGCGAGCGCAAATGTGTAAACTAATTAGCTAGTATTCGAGTAATTGATTATCTTGTGATACGACAGAAAAAAAAAAAAATACGTTGAAAACAGTCGCTCTATAATGCTTATTGAATTGTCATAACCGCGTGTTCACGCGATGCAAATTCGGAAGAATACAGGGAATTTAGTATGTCGAGATTCTAAGCGATACAAGCGAGAGAAAGAGAGAGAGGAAACAAATAAAGAAGAGACCTTCTAACTAGGCTAGTATTTGAATTGTACATAATTATTGAATATATAACAACACACACGATATCGAATGACGTTATATTACTGTACGAGACGTTAACGAAAGAAAATTCTTTTTTCTCTTTCCTTTTATTTGTCATATAAATTATCGAGTGCCGAGCTAAATTAAATCGAGACAAAAAAATTCTACTCATTATCAGAGACAACATTTTGCGTGAAATTAATTGAAATAAACGGCACAGTATTTTGAAATTGTATTTAATTATCTGCGACTTTACGACGAATTCGTCATCTCTAGAATGTACAGAAGAGAGTATTTGTTCCTCTTATAAAAAAAAATGCTGCCAGGTGCAACATAATATTTTTTTTCGTTATCGTCTGGTACACTATATGAATATTTAAATAAAGCATAGTGAGGATTATTATTATTATTATTATTATTATTATTATCATTATTATTATTGAAATTCTTGATATTATCTTTATTATTGTATTGAGAGTGAATCTGTTGCTAATGACTTAGTATACAGTGTTAATATTGTATTTTATTTGTTTCGTTATTATTATTATTTTTTTTGTTGTTTACGCCGCGTGTCGTACAACACGTTCCGTACCTATGAATGATGTGCACAAATATAATGCAAGATTTGCATCACTTTTTTACACGAGATCCATCGCGGGATACGTTATAGTCGTGCTATCTCGATGCCTATCGAAACTGCCGACTCGCCGTTCGAGCCGTTCGCGAGCGGCGTAAGAGACGAAACGGAGAAAACTGCAGATATTTACTCTATTTATTCGTCAAGGTGCAAAGAATGCGTTCTATCCAAGTTAAATTAAGCTCAAGTATTACGTTCGCGTAGCGTCACTCAAATGTTATTTCATTCCATGTAATATACGTAATAGTCTAACTAAAAAAAAATACTTACTTATTACATCTACGTAACCTAGAGAGCACCGTACGTGTAAGGTCGTCTAATTATATAATTTAAATTGTAATTATTAAATGGTATGACGTACAGAAATCATCGATGCTTATTTCTTTCTGGAACCTATGAAAAACTAGGGGAGTTCTTGTCGATTTCCGAGTGTAATATCGACGTGCTCTCGATGTACTACGCGTAAATAAAATCTTTTTAATTAAATAAAATCATTCTAATTATATTGATAGCTATGTAACAAAGGGATACTTGAACCGGCGCATGAAGCAGCGTTTATTACGACTCACGATAATTATTATATTTATAATTGTCGATATGATAATTTTTAACGCGCGTACTTTATATATTGCTCAAACACAAAACACGATAACGTTGAAAGGTTGCGCGATGGCCAGTGTGCGAGGTTATCTGCGACCGAGATAGTTAACCAACACAATATACATCAATATCTCGTTATTTTAATTACACCAACGCGTGTACATTGTTTCGATAAATTTAGTTAAACTTATTTAGCAGTAAGTAAAATAAAGTTTGGCTCTCGTTCTTTCCTTAGAAAAGTCTAAATAATAATGTCAAGGCCAATACAAATCGTTAGGCGCGTATATGTGTTAGAAAATACATCTCTCGTAGTACTTACATATGTTACGGATTCTTTTTCGGCAGAGTATCAGTTTCGATTGTCACGCAGATCCTCTCCTCAGCCGAAGAAATTTGGAAATTAACTAAATATCTTAGGTTTTCTCTAGCGAATAATACACAATAACGTAACAACCCCACTTCAGCGCCGCAGACGCGCCAACGCGGAATGTAAACAATGTTTATATTTATGTTCTCTAACATGTATACGAGATCCTACTTTGTCGCGAGAATAAATACGTTTTATTTAAGCAAACTTTTTGATGAAAAAACTGCTGGAGAGCACGCATGTTTTTTTCATTATTGAAAAATTCATTGAACGAAGTAACATTGTTTAGACATCTAAAATTAGAAAGAGAGCGGCAATGCTTTAGGAGTCTGTTTATCTCTTTTCAATTAGAATAAAATATCGTTTCATAGTAAATGTGAAATATTAATGTATGTAATAAATTGATATATTTATTATTTATAAGTAAATATTATTAATGTACATAATAAATGTAACGTCGCGAAATGTATTCGAATGAAAAATCATAGTTCTATAATTAAGAGAGAAGATCGGATTCCCCAAAGCTCTCTTTCTTTTTCTAATTTTAACGTAATGCTTGATCGATACGCGCAGTCTGTATTTACTACGTCTATTCATTAGTCAACACATTATTTGTTTGTAACGTCTCGTTGGCGCGAGATCACCTGGAGTGGGAATTGGCATAGCGTGAGAAGGTCTGAAGTTTTATTCAGTCAATCATCAAGCATTAATTGAAGAGGATCTAAGTATTGGAGATCACGAAACTAATACTATTGCGAAGAACAATCTATTACTAATGGAGAAAAATACTACGAGAGGTGTATCGTAAGTACTTTCTAACACAAAAATTTCCTGTATCTAACTCCTTGTATTGGTCTTGACATTATTATAATATATAAATTGTTTTGAAAAAATTGCTTGGTTATTAGTTAAATTTTTAATGAAATTTTAAATCGCAATAATAACAGATAAATGCAAATCGATATCGCGAATAATTTTTCAATTCAATATACTTATTTAAATTTTGCATTTAAACATTTTTCATTCAAATACATTTCGCGACATTACATTTATTACGTACATTAATATTTCAAATTTCTTACGTAAATTAATTAACCTCGCGGCCAAAGATTTTAAGCGTGACATGAACTTACATTCTACGAATGTACGCTCAACCATGGTCAGTTGACATTTTATTTAATCTGAAGGCGCCGATAAAGATCACGTATCGGCAGCAGAGGGTCGTGTATGTGATAAAGCAGAGTCACACCCTCAAAAACTACCGAAGCAGACAGGAGTCATGTAGCGAGAAAACAAGAGAAGACAGGACTTAACGCAAGTCATGATCCGTCACAGGACTTACTCGAACGACTAAGATCGTACTAAGCTACCGACGATGACGCCGCGTATATTCGATTGGCTCGTAGACTCGTGCACCTTTGTCAGGTATTGCGGGAAGATAACCGTGACTCTTTCGGTGTATAGCCCGTAACGGAGTACCGTATAAATGAAGAGTAAACGTGGCGCCAGTCTACCATAAGGTCACGATTAAATCGAACCTTTCTGTTCTTCGGAAAATAGAAGTCTAGATTGAAACAGCCGAGTCTCGAATGCTTTAGCATCGCGATAATTAATTCGCTCGCTATATTTATCCATATCTCCCGTCATTGCATTTAAAAAATCGCATTTATCACAAACGCAATACACAATCCATTATTTATTTGATTAACACACATATACATACATATATATATATATATATGTATATTGTTTCGCATCGAGAATTGATATGGAGGGGAATTACAAGGAAATGCAATTTTCTTGAATAAGCTATTAAGCTCAATGTAAAATGGAAAGGAGAAAGTGCAAGAAAGTTTTCAGACAAGCCTCTCTCGTCAGTCTATCAGAGACGAGAAAGATCCCCACGACGAGCATCAGCATTCGCGCGAACACCGTAGGTATATAATACCTCTCGCCTGCCGTCAGTCACTCAGTCAGTCATTGATACCACGGGGTGATTAATGAAGAGTCAAGGTTCGGGATCACGGTACCGTGTGGCGAGTGGTGGGGAGGGGAAAGGGGGAATCGCGGGGCTCCGAGCACGACATCGCGAAGAATGTCGATACCACGCGGCTCCGAGAAATGAGTGCGCGTGGGTCGTCTATTGTGAAATTAAGTCTTGTTCAAGGTGCGGGATTTATCGAGCAATCATGTCGGGTATAATTCGACACGGAAACGTTTAGCGGCGAGAGACGAAGTCCGGAGACGCCGATTCGTGGAGGAACTTTTGTTTTTCTGTGAGAATTTTTTTTTTCTTTATAATAATTTTTTTTTTCCTCCGTAAGAATTTATCTCACGTCTTGACGAGATACATTCCGTCTCTCTTTCTCACGAAAGAGAAATGGAAAAGTATTTCAAATGCAGGATACATACGGGGTTTTGAAAATACATCGACAGGAAGGAGCGGGTGAGCTATCTGCGTACGGATAAGGCCCCCTCTCTCCCCTTCTCTGCGTATTGACTGACAAGCGTGGCAGGGATCCAGGAGCGCAAACTTGAAACAGCCTTCGCGTTTATCCATCTGTGCTCACGTTCGTTCCGTCTGTCCGTCCGTCCGTTCGTCTGTCCGTCCGTCCGTATGTCCGTCCGTCGATGTCCGAGTCGTCGTCGATACCCGCCCTGTCCACAAACGGAGCGGAGCAAGACTTCAGCA